CTCTCTCTAATGTCCGCTATTCAGAAGTTCACCTGAGGGAGCGAAGATTTTCAGTGGCATATTCATCTGCGACTCCAAGGATGAACCACTGTAAGGGAATAAATCCGCCCGCACCGAAGGTGCTGGGGCGTGATCTTCCGGATGGCACTCGTAAAAGGTTACAGGTTTACCTGGGGGGGGGGCATTTTTCGGCCAAAACCTCCTGTTTTTGATAGGTCGTGACGCTCGCCTTCAAAAAACACTGTAAAAAACAGTACGGAAGACACCTGTTCATGAACGCGCCCGTCCAAAATCGGCAAGCGAAAAGTGAAAAAAACCTGTGTTTGTCAACTTTTTGACCTCAATTTTTTGGTTTGCAACATCTTTTTTTGCGGTTCCGCAGGTGGCCTGGCCCGGAGGCGGATTTTTGAGTTTTTGGACCCGTTTTCGGACTGATTTTCGTCGTTTTGTGATAGCAGAAACACTGGTTTTTACAGTATTTTTCTGTTTTCTGCATGCTTGACGGCTAGCTTCAAAACTTCCAAAAACCTCGTAAATTACGCTGTTTTATGTTACGGTGTGAATGAAAACAGCGTAAATACCAGTGTTTTTTGACGTTGGTTAAAAAAACACTGTAAATTAGTGTTTTTAGCCACCTGACCCTCAAAAACCATGGTATTTGCAGTGGTTTCTGCTTCTCACCGCGCAAAAACACTGTAAATAACAGCAATTTCGCCGTTTTTTCATGTTTTTCGCTCTTTTTTTTGAACTGCGTTGGTCCGCTATACATGGCTATCAAATTCTTCGCGTTTTTTTTCCGACAATCAGTACTTTCGGATGTTTTTGGTCTCAATGGCCGACATCATTGGCAGTTACGAGCGGTCGCGAAGGTGTGAGAACAACATCGTTCAAACCGTGGCGGCCGCACAGAGGTTCTTGTCGCGGAGCGACGGCAATAGAAGAGAACAATGGCAGTAGAAGAGAACGATGCGGTGCGGGCGGTTGCCGTCGCGAAGCGACGTGAATACTGCAAACCTGCATTCAACCCCATGCATTTTCAACATTTAGATTTTCCAATGGCATGCATGTCAACTGACATTTGCTGCACCGGTGAAATTCGAAGGGTCGCCGGAGCCCTTTAAATGCTCCAAGCATTCGTGGCTGAAAAGACCAGCTGTTGGCTGGCGTCAATTGGAGCTGTGGTGTTTGGGGAGTTTCGTGTTTTGGTTTCGGAAGCAGTTGCCAAGGGGCCAGGACTTGTTGTGTTCATTTCAGGGCACTTGAAACTTCGTAGGTTATGAGCCCAAAGAGCGACCAAAAGAAACAACAACCCCAACCAAAGCCTATAGTGTTTCCATGGATGCGCGCCGGCGCCGAGCTGATGCGAGCTGCGCGGCTGAAGGCCATGGAGGCGCTGCTGATGGCGCTGATGAAAGCGCTGCTGATGCCGCTGCTGGCGCTGTGACTTCGGGCGCTGCTGGCACTGTGTCTTCTGGTGTGGGTGGCGGCTTAAGGCGGCTGATGGCCCTGGCTCTGCTGCTGTGGCACCAGGACCTGAGGACTTGGCACTCATTGGTCAGGAGATGGTCCCTGTTGAAAAGGAAACGGAAAGGGATAGGAAACCGGATCAGAAGTCTCAGAAAAATGAGAGGTTCAGGAATCAGTTTCAGACTCCTGCACCTCAAAGACCAGTAGGGTCACCTTTGGATCAGATGTATCTCAAGAATAGTCCTGGAACAAAGCAGAATGATGAGAACAGTGAGAAGAAAAAGGGTCAAAGAAATGATCAGTTGTCAATGGCCCCCAATGGACCTCCAGTCTCGTATGGGCCGTCTGGTTCACCGCAAGCACCTCTGTTCACGCCAGAGCAGATTGGTTCAACACGATCCAAGAAATTCATCATCGCTTTTGCCTTGGTCAGGGGAGTCATTTGCAAGTGGTGATCTGTCCAGGTTGCAAAGCTTCTTTCAGGGACTCCTTCCTGGTTTTGATCAATCAGGACGCTCGACAGCGTGAAATGGAGTGGCGAGCTTAGATGGAGGTCATGTGGAACTTCAGTTGACAAAAGCTTTTTGGAGCAAGGAAAGAGTCTTCTAGATATGGTACTCCTGAAGAGCAGTTGTCATCTGGGAGGGGTGAGACCAGGATTTCACTCGTGCCGTGTTGGACATCTCAGAGGAGGAAGGTGTAGATCCGCGTCAAAGAAAGGGTCGTCTCAAAGGGGGATGGGGGCAGGTGCCCATGGGGCAGATGCCCGGCAAGATTCATCGAAGGAGGACGGGGCAGCTGCCCGACAAGGTTTGTTTGAGGAACGATGGATGAAGGTCTGCCGAGAAGATCAAGCTCCATCAGAAGAAGAAGATCAATCCGATCAGGTGCAGAGCTCTGAAGAGAATTCACGAGAAAAGGAGGATGGGCCAGCAGGCCAGCAAGATCAAGGTGGTCAGTCTCGACCTATGATCGTCCATGGTATGCAGTCCATGCAAGAAATGATGCTGCGCTCCAAAGAAGAAGGAAGTGATGAACCAGAAGTTGCGAGGGTGGCTCCACAGTTGCCACGCCTCCCAGAATGGAGTGCTGACTCCGCTCCGATCGATTTCAATGACTGGCTGACTTGCCTTGAGGTTCACATGTGCGACTTGACCATGTCATGAATTCCGAATTCCCAGCAGTGGTGGGAGGCTACCACAAAGACGGTCCCAGTGGTATGCAGAGCACATGACTCTCACACCGATCCAACGGCTCACTCATCCTCCCGCAGTTCCTGGCTTTCTGCTGCCTCGCTGCTCATGGCTTCGTTGCCAGATCCTCTGAGAGAAGAAGTTGTCGCTTCGAAGGCCATCACAACTCTTAAAATTCTGTCCAAAGCGATGCTGCAATACTATACCAACCTGGTGGACTGGGGGAGCGAGGGGCCATTCTTCAAGCCCTTGAAAACCCTAGAGAGTCGGGCACCATTCCCATAACGATTGTGCAGTTGAGGAAGTGGATCAGATGGAAAAGGAGAGCCTTTTTTGCAGCCTGATGCTCCGAGTGCCGTGCGCGAAACTCAGCAAGGCAATGAAAGCACAATTAATCAGCAAAAGCAAGAAATGATCTGAGGACAGAGAAAGGAATATCAATGGACCGACAGGACACACCAGGACCTCTACCAGAGGGAGACCCACCCGAAGAGCCAATTTGAGCAGAAGAATGAACACTAAGGAAAGTGACTTTGTGAGTAGAGACGGGTTTGAACAACCCAACAAAACCACTCAACCTCCCAAAATGGAGGTCGCGGAGATTCATGCAATGATGATCTGAAGTGAATTTTCCATGGCAGAAACGGCGAAATCGGGCCTTGAATTGACTCAAAAATGTTGAAGTTTCTTGCCGTCCACCCACTTGGGAAAATCAGGATAACAACCGGCAAAGCCAAAAAACACCAAGACCCATGGAACTTTAGGCCCTTGCTGATTGACCAAAAACTCTATACAGACATCATGAGTGTACCTAGACAAAGCCTGGAAGTACTCACCAGAATAATTCTGCAACCTAGACCTAGCATTCCGCTGGTCCAGCTGAGGAAACACATGCGGTTAAACAATGACAGAGGTGAAAGAATCCCGAAAATTTTGATGAACGTCCCAGACTCTGTCAGGCGAACGGTCCAGTTTTCACACTTGGTCAAGAATTCACTGCTACACTGCTCAGGAAAAAGGTGTGAAGGGGTTGGATCACTTGGAGGTTGGTCTTATGACGGGCACAAAAATTGGCACGCACATCGTTCACCCAGCGTGGCAACGATATGGCATTGCCATGACACAGCCACTGTGATCAACTTATGGTAAGGTTCGAGCTTGGCTCTAAACGCATCTCTGGCTACAGCCCTAGCGGCTGCATCCATCATTCTATTTCCATACGTAAGATACGGATCCTGGCTAGACTCTGCCGTACAATGGCCTTTACTTTTATGATGCGCACCCTACCAGGACGGGATTTCGCAACAGAGCAAACCAAATTCCAGCAATCCCAGCTGCCCAACTTGTGAATCCATTCGCGAGAAAAATCAGCATCT